TTATTAAATACAATAGTATTATGCACGGAAAGAAACTTTAATTATATTAAAATATTATAATAAATTTGTGTTTTTCATTAAGTTTTATAAATAGGGACATAATTATGAAACAATTAGTACAATATTACATAACTACGTACAATTTAGTCTTATCATGTTTTTATAAAAATAAGTAATTTAATAATTAAGAACCATATTTTAAAATTAGAATAATAATTTAGAGTGTACTGGCAAAAAACCAAAATTTCTATCATTAAAGCTCACAATTAAAAAAAAAATAAAAAATCAAAGAAACAAGTATGATTCAAATTGTGATCATAAGGAACATTTAACTTAGAGATACTTGCTTATTTTTTGTTCCTTTACTAACTGCAGACCCATTTTTTCAAATTTCCCGTCAAAAAAACATCACTCCGTATACCCTTTGGACCTGGGAGGATATAGATCTCAAGCTCCTGCACCTTGAATTACCGCCACGTTATTTTCATTCGCAGTAAAAACAATACAATTACACCCAAGAGAATACAGATAATCGGCAAAAAATGAAACACAAGTATACACGATCAACGCTCAGTTTCTCCGAGCTGAGCGATGGCAATGGGAGGGGCGTATGGATAGCATATAAGTACGAGACGTGCCACTCTACGCATTGGTGTTCGCGTAGCCTCGAGATGCACTCACGAAACACCTATATTGTCCTCGTTATGAAAAAATATATGATACATATCGCGAATCGCCCCACTGCACGACTTGTTAATATACACCGCACGCGTCTCTCGTTGGGCACAAAAGCGCGATGACGAAGACGGTGAGGTCACTGTTCTATAGAGACACCGCCTTGTCGCGCATATATTTATAATATATGTACATTTTCAGCGAGCAAACTACGGTGTAAATACTGCGCTGACAGAGAGAGGCTGTGTAGAATGACACGCTGCTGATGGCATAAAGAAAAAAAAAAAAAAAAATTAAAAATAACAATTGTGACAATGCGCTTCTTGACGTTTGCATCCGTAGTAAATGTCACGTGTATCTTTATTAATCATACAGTGACGATAACAATGCACTCGCATGGCAGTGCCGTCACGAGTAAGTATTGTTACGCTCTTGTCCTCTTTTTGGAGCACCGAGAGCACACTTGGTGCGCTCCATCGTGCAGATGGAAGGCTCAATTTGGGCACTTGTCTAGCCTTCGGAATTTTCAACGAGCCACCACTTGAAAAATCTGTTTTACTTGCCGTATCGTGGGAGATTGGTCCGACGAGGATTTATTTGCACGTGCACTTCTGACACCAATTGATGAAATACAGATGAGTCGTGTCACTGATGATGCAATGAAATTCTTATGGTGCTGCAGTTGGAGCCAATCGTTTGGTATGAAAAGAGTACGTGATGGTATTGACTCTCGATGCGGTGTAGAGATGATTCGCGACTGATGAGTCAGTGGATATGCGTATTCACTGATTCATGTCATATGTTGGGAGTATGGAAAATACTCTCAGCGTTTGGATTTAAAAAGCTGGGGAAAAGAGAAGTTTTTTAATACTTTTTCCAAACTGTTTATCGCGAGGTAGACACATTTAGGGATGCGTGGTTTAATCGGGATATTGCGTTAGATGAAAAAGATTTTTTTTTTATCTGTTGGCATCTACAAAATGATCCAATGTTGTTGGTAAATATTCTTGCGTTGCATTAGATTTATTAGATGTTCTGCTTATTTTAATCAAAATTTGTGAATTTTTTTTTCTCTAAGAAACCATACGAGAATTACAAATACAAAATAAAATACATCTATAAAGACAATCTGACTTGAAAAACAATACGTGATGGTCATTTAGAGATACCCAATGGAAATGTGGTTCCCAAATCAAGCTGTAACGAACAGCAAGAAAAAAAAAAATTAAAATGTTCTCGCATTAATATGAGAAATACCGACTCACGTAAAATAGTTTCAATTTTCCTAATGCCCCGTAGATATTATTATGTTTCCGTATCGGGTTTAAGGTTATCCAGTGACTTGAAAGAGAAGCTCAGCATTCATTATGTGGGTCAAGAGTAACTCGCTCGTGTGGCTTGTGAATAATTTATTTTTATTGTTCTGACTTTCATTATGTTGCTATTACAATGATTATTATTATTGTTATTGTTGTCATTATCACTATTTGACAAAAATCTTGAGATTGAGCTATTACTTGGTTGGTCAGTTTTTCAAACAAATGAATAATTGAACGAATAAATGATTGCAGAGAAAGAATCAACTCATATATAGAACTTGTTGAATAAGTATATCGTAAAATAACTCTAAATAAGTAAATAAATTGGTGTCTTGGCTCTTGGCTGGATTTTGATATTGATTAAAGATGCGTGACTAAAATAATCATCGAAACTACCATTTATTTTCTCAACCCAATCCACCACAACTGAACTGTATTTATCTTTTATTGCTCAATTTTTGCAACGAGTGGCGAACTTTTCACAAACCAAGTACAAAACATTGAAATGTTAGCTAATGTTCCAAAATATAAAAAAATTTTCTTCTGAAATATTCACCTCTCAAGCTGAATCTCGTAATATATACATATTGTGAAAACATACAGACATGCACAGTTTATTTTGTTCCCTCGAAGCCCGCGTAAGCCGATAATCTTCGCACAGGCACTTGCTGCCTCGAATATCCGCTATACGAGTGTGTGCTTGCACAACCAAGAGAAAAGTAACCCAAACAGTCCGTCCCAACTCCCGGCCGTAAAAAGTTTTTACACCTTTTTTCATTAGTAGCCTATTGACGGCTGGTGAAAGCCCGACGTCCGAGTGAAACTCGGAAGATTACCGCACGACAATGTTTTGCTGTTTGATTGCAAATAAAAGAAAACGGAAAAAAAAGGAAAGAAAAAATTTTGCATTCGTACAGTCTTGAAAAACCGTCTACCATGAATAACTCTGTCAGTGATAGGGAAGCGAAAAAGTTAAGGATGGTAAAAAAAAAAAAAAAAAAAATTTCACGTACGTTCAGCTATCTGGAGAACGGAATCTAGACTCCACTGATATATTGTACCCCTGCAAGAAAAAAAAAAAAAAAGGTTTTTCAGGTCGACCTTGGCGCCCGGCCCTAACCCAGTTTTTTGCTCTCGCCTAGCACGCTAAGAACAATTCCTGCTCGTTAAGGCGCGCGTCGCGTCAAATTTAAAGCAGGCCCCCGTGCACGCTTTGTGAATTTAAAGTGATGGTTAGAACTATGCCTTCTTTTTTATTTTTTTTTCGTATCGTCCTAGAAACAAATTCTGTCGTTCTTAAATGTGTACAAGTAGATTTTTTCTTTTCGTTTTTTTTTTTTTTTTTATTTTAAAAATTTTTTTCGACCGTCAGACAGCACAACAAACGTATTTTGCATCAAAACAGCAGACTTAGAATGAGCGTAATATCAAAATTATCCGGGAAAACAAGCTCGCGGCGGAAGCGCTTGATTGTATAATTACCTTCTGTCGTGAGCCTCGTAAAACGAAAACTTTGAGCGCGTGTATGCATATGGATGATGGCCGATCGCGATTGCGTCACTTACTGCCGGTCTGGGAAATTCGTGCTTCCCTGATGTGTGGCGATGGTCATCGTTTTTTTCTTCGTATTTTTTTCCAGCTCAAAGTATAACATAAGCAGCGGGTGAATCATCGTGTTCGACAACAACAACATTGTAGTGTGTACATAATAGACCAGTCACGTATGCACGCGTGATCAAATTACTGACGCGAATTTATTTTATTTTTAAGTTGTGTATTTTATCGTTCATGAAGCCGTTTCTGTTGTTTGCTCGTTTAAATATCTTGAGAAAAAGTGTTTCTGAATCCATTCATTCTACTTTTTATGCTAAATCAAAAATCTCGCACGAAAATTATATTTAATTTTTTTACTAATAACACTTGACAACAGTCAGAAACGGTATTTTCAAGTTGCAGGATGCGTTCGATACTTACCGTTCGTTCCAAAAATGTACAGACAATTTGATACATTATGGAAACAACTCAATCCATAATCAACAAAAACTTCTTTACAATTTTGAAAAAATAATTTCGGTAATATTCTTTTAAGTACACAAGTATCAATATAGCAGTAAAAATAAATAAAAGTAACGGCCAAGCAGAGGGGTCCTATTGAGTCAAAGGATAATATTTAATGCAAACAGCTTTATTTTCTCCATTTCCTAACCTGTTTTTATGTGAATTAAATATATTTTCCATGAAATAATAACTTTAAAAAATTATCCGTAGTACAACTACAGTATTTAATATCATACAAAAACAGAAGTCAGTTGTCATGGCGTGCATTTTGACTATATCTGTATTCTCCATAAAAGTGGTGAGAAATCATAAAATACTCTAATGACCCGAAAAAGATTGTGTGCTATTGGACTTAATTTTCAGTTATCTGGTATCGTAAGATATTACTTGTCATAGAAGTGTGAAACTTGCACCAATTTCTAAATTTTTCATACATACCACTTAAAAAGTAATTTTTCACTATTTTTTATTGCCAAAAAACTTGGAATTTAATGTTCCCCTTGTGTGAAGTCTTATTAAATGATACAATACATTCATATACCCAACTAACGCTTAAAAGCTTCATTCGATAAAAAAATTTTATCTGACATTGACTTGAAATCGATCCTTAAATAGCCAATTAAGATTTATCGTGGTGTATGGGTTTGTACTCTGTAGTACTGCAAAAAAAAAAAAAAAACAGGAATTGTCAAAGTGGTAAAGCTGAGACTCATCCTCTTCATTTTTACCGACTTTTTGTTTGAGTACACCCAATTACTCATTGATCAAACGCTTGACGTTCCTCGAGTGTAAAAAAAAAAAAAATAAACAAGTCCACGCGTCACATCATACGTTTCCTCATACCCGCAGAAAAAAAACTCGTTTCTATTTCCAGATAAGCTATACGTAAACGAAAAAAAAAAAGTTAAATCAAAAATACATAACCACTCCTCATGTTTGATTTTGCAGGTGCAGGCGTAGTGTGTACTTGCCATAGCATACGCGATTACATTGTGCAACAGTCGAGGTACGATGGGTTACGACACGGAAATGGACGGCTGCGGCCGCTTCATGAAGTACTCCCTCTTCGCCGTGAATTTCATCATATTCGTAAGTATAACGAGACTGATAATATACGGATGGATTCGTCATTTGCACACGAAATATGCGGGTTGACGGCAACCTTGACGCAGTTTTTATGTGTGCACAGGAAAAAAAAAACTTGGAAAACTTATTATCGTTACTTTGGCCAAATGAGTCACCGGAAAATTTGCCTTAGTTTTAATGATTGTGACAATGGACAAAATAAAATTGTTTTATATGTATATATATATATATATATATATATAAAATTATTGTTTCTGCTTTTTTGATTTATGGTATTGAGTAGATTTACTATTTTTTATTTATCGATGAATAATTTATGTTTTTGTTATCATTTGTAATCACATGCACAACTGTACAAATTATTTTAACGTTTACTGAAGCCCTCTTAATTATAGAATTGACTGAGTAGGACATTTTTTTTTCTTTTTTTTTTTTTATTCAAGTATAATTTTAACTACACGTTGTAGTGTTATTCTCTCATGAATTATTCACGTGTATTTTACAAAAAAAAAAAAAAAAAAAAAAAAATCAACGGTACAAATCATGCGATTCTAATCTAGTGATATCGATGAATCAGTAGATAGCTGAAATCTAGCACACCTGTGTGTAAAATATGTGTTCGTGAGTGGAATTTTCATTTATTGACAAGTTGTCTGTTGGTTTACGAGATTTTTATGTAATCAATGTTCATTCATGAATCGGTACGTTTTTCTTCGTCGATTGATTGAATTTCACACGCTTTTAATTGTAGTGCTTACAATCTTTAGAACGAAGTTCTTTATGTTGCGTAACTCGGGGGGCTGGAATTTTAAAACCGACAGATTTTTCTTTTTGAAACGAAAGTGGTTTACTCTTCCTCTCAAGTTTCCCCCCTTACCCCGTCCCCCTTACCGACTGTTCTCTATACACTTCCCCTCTACCCACTATATATGTATATCTGCCAACTGTCTCGTGCTCTTCTGCATACCTTTAATTTTATTTTCACACAATAATTTTTATTTCACTTTGAATTTTTTTCTTCTACAATTTTTCCAATAAAGAGATTTGAACCCTTGACCTCCTGCATATGAGTCCATTATCTTACCCTCTCTGCTACGAGAGTACAGTATTTATGCACGACGTTCTCACGAAGTTCAACCATCGTGAGTACTAAACTATTGTTTTTGTTTTTTTTTATTCGTTTTTCAAGTTTTTGTTTTAGTAAACAACATGAATGCAGTACTAACGTTTACAGAGCTTCNATTAATGGGTCATGGGACCCACGGTAAGAACGAAGTTCTTTAAACATGAGATGAGTATAGACACTATTTCTCAGGTAACAAGGGGGTCGCCAGACCCACAGGAAGACCGAAGCTCTGTAAACGTTAGTAATGCATTCATGTTGTTTACTAAAACAAAAACTTGAAAAACGAATAAAATAAAAGAAAACAACAGTTTAGTACTCACGATGGTTGAACTTCGTGAGAACGTCGTGCATAAATACAGTATGGTTGAACTTCGTGAGAACGTCGTGCATACTTAAATACATTTTTTATTTTCATACTTATTTTTTTTTTGCATTCCCTTATTTATTTCATTTTTTTTCGTTCCATGGTATTTATTGATGTCTTTTGTAATTTTATTTTTATACCTTGATTGTTTATCAGTCATTGTTTACAATCATTTTTCAATTTATTAAATGCGATACCATTTTGTTTTAAATACTATATAGTGACTTATTACTAAGTTTCAGGGTTACTTAGATGCAAAAGTACACAAAGAATTTAAGAATTCAAAATAAATTTAAGGTTTATTTGACATTATCATCTGTATCTGTAATTTCGATGTCTCAATTACATCATTTTTTTTGTATTCTTTCTTTCTTTTTTTTTTTCAATTTGCTCTGAGATCGAAGCCATAAAAGTTGGAAATATACAGCCTTGTAACAAGTGCCGTTGATTGAATTTTCATTCCATTTTGAATTAAGATATTTATTATACTTAATCCTTAATATTTTGAATATTCAATTCATTGCAACTAATAGTCCTTCTTCTATACTTATATCCCCTTTCAGACTTATTCCTACATCCTTGACGAATTTCCATAGATGATTTACATACCTTTTGTTCCATATTCAAGCTATATTCTTCCTTATCAGCCTTTTTCTTTTCGACAAAAACTCTTTCACCTTTTCTTACGTATCTTTCCATTGCTTCACCTTTAATAAATTTTCAAATGCTTCCAGTTACTCTTTATGCTACAACTTTTTGTTTTGTTTTTAAAAACCATTCAAACGTGTTGTAGTGGTAAAATGTTTTTGCAAAGGCTCTGCTTAGCCAAATTAAATTATATTTATATCCCTGTCAACACATTACAATCAATACAAATACTGTCATGTATAATATCTTATTTTTTTCAATTCCCATTAAGTTATCCCATTGCATGAAAGTCAGTCTCAAATGGTCTTGGTAACAGATAAAATTCCCGCAACCTTTCGTAACACCTAGATAAAGAGAAAAAAGTAAAAAAAACCATGGTCTTTCCAACTCTCAAAAAGCGATCAATCTAACGAAACCTTACAGATCAGCGGAGTAACGCTAACTGGCCTGGCGATCTATTCATTGGTCGAAAAGGTGAACTACGTGAGCGAGCTCACGGGTAACAATCTGCTCACAGGGACCGTCTACGTGCTCCTCGTCGGTGGCATCATCGTCTCGCTCATCTCCTTCTTCGGCTGCCTCGGTGCTGCTAAGGAGATCAAGTGCTTCCTCTTTATGGTGAGTTGTTGCTGTTGTCCATCCCTTCTTTTTTTGTATCCTCGTCTCGTTTGTCTTTCTCGTGAAAGAACGATTGCATCGGCATTCCCGTGATTCTCGAAATTTACGGAGAAAAAACAAATGAGGCACCATAATTCCCTTCGTCACGTATAAAAATCAAATCCACTCGCAACGCGGGACTGTGACTGACAATCGATGTCGTTCAATTTGCAGTACTTCATCATAATCCTGATGCTGTTCGTCGTCATCCTGATCGGGGGTATACTGGGCTACGTATTCCGGGAGAAGTTCGTCGACACTCTGCAGCAGCAGATGCGCAACTCGATGCATCTGTACAAGGAGAAGCGCGAGATCACGGAGGCTTGGGACTACGTGCAGTCGAAGGTAAGCGTATTTTTGGACGTAGTTTTCGAGCATGGGAGTAACGATGGTGACTTTACTTGGCTTAATTTCTTTAGCTCCACTGCTGTGGAGTCGACAGCTGGCAGGACTGGTCCAGGTATCTCAACGAGGTGCCACTCAGCTGCTGTCGCGAAATGACCGAAGGAAAGGTGCGTCCATCAACATTAAGTTCTTCCTTTTCTGTTCCCCCTTTTGTATACACTGGAGTGTTTCATTTATATCACAGACTTAAAGTTAAATTTGTCTTGTTTTATTAAGTACAAGTGCACGTGTGTTTGAGAATTTTATTTCGAGTACTGATAATACTAAGAGTTACATCGTTAGTGTCTTATTTCAGAACGTTCCGAGTATTTAACTATTCGGTGTTTTAAACATTGGAAATCAAAATGCTTGAAAAGTAAAACCACCAGCATTAGATTCCTATCTTATTAACTTTCAAAGATTTCAGCATTTTATTGTTGAGAAATTCAAGTGTTTTATCATAAAGTGTTAATGATTAAAGACAAGTGTTGTAAATGTGTGGTTGTTTCAAAGAAAATTTTTAATATATTTTTAAGTTCTTCAAATTTTATAGCCAAGTGTTGAAATCAAACACCTTTGCTATAAAGTCAAGTGTTTTCAGGACTAAACACTTGAACCTCCCATCTTTGTTAAACCCTTCCATCCATTCATATAGGTGGTTCTGCCGTAAGTGGCTCCTTTCGTATCCAGGTTTCATGCCACTACATTCAAGCTGATACATTGACTCCTCGATAAGATAAATAAGAAAATGTAGTCAAAATGTAACTTCCGTACCCTTGCTGAATTTGGTGCCACCAGTCAAAAATTAAAAGGATTTTTAAAAAATAACAAATTTTTGGCAAAAATCTACGAAATCTCAGTTTCAGCGATTCTTATCACTTCTATTTAAACAACTATAACTTTTAAACGGAGATACTGAATGAAACGAGATTTTTTTCAATCAATAGGGTTTTATCTTAGCTTTTATTTTATTTGGATAAGAACACTTTAACCATACAAGCAGCTTAGCTACACGCATTATAAAGCGACGTATTTTTTTCGAAAATTGACTAAAATTGACTTTTACAAAATACCGTATATATATCCTTTGATCCAAAAACTTTTTATAGTTAAATCGCACTTGATATTCGTTGTGGATGGTATTTGAGGTACAACTATCATAAAAAATAATTTTTTTAACCAACTTTTTCTTTTAACGATTCTTCGAGGCATTTTGAGCCACTTAAGGCACAATCACCCATATACTTGTTTTGAACCTTTTAGACATTAATAAAAATAATAGTTTAGAAAACTAAAAAATACGCTTTTATTTTGAAAGCTTATTTATCATGAAAGAAAGCGTTGAGCGTTTTGTCCAAAAAGGGTAAAGATTACATAAACGCTCTATGCTTTCTTTCATAATAAATCATAGTAAATACTTAATGAAGATGATTACCTATTTATAATCATTTTGCATAGGTAATTATTTATTGTTTATCACGAACTGCAATTGTTTATGTTTACCTACGATCTAATGAAGATTTGGCACAGGGAAAACTCTTGAGCCATCAAACTAAACGTCCAAATTATTATGTGATTTTTAGTGCATGCTAAAAGCGTGTTTTTTAGTTTTGAAACTATTATTTTTATTTTATACTTTTTAGTCTTATAGATGGTCAACCCCCCCAGAGTTCCATGTAGGGGGGCAAAGCTAATTACAATAGGGTTGCGCCCGGTGCCCTAAGGTAACGCTAGCAATATGATATTTTTTACCACCCTCATACCATTCAGCCCTCGGCGCCTATCCTACCTTGGCTTAGGTGGGATCTCATAGACTTAAAGTCCAATCTTCGTATTCCTATCGTCGAACCTTATTGATTGATACCCATGATATGATAATTTGGTAAGAAAATGTCATTTCACATTATTTTCAGCAAACCCTTTCATTTTATACCTAAATCATAGGGCTGCATTTCAAATAGCCAATCTGCCACCTTGGGACGGCCACCGTGTTAGATTTAGGTCACGTGATTATTTTTTTCGTATCCCATTCAGCAAACCCTTTCATTAAATACCTATATCACGAGGGTTCATTTCAAATAGCTAATCTGAAATCTTGGATGTCTGCCATATTGGATTTGTAATGAGGTTTCTTAGCTAGTCATGTATTATCATTAGAACTCAGAGCCTGTACAAAATTTCATTCTAATCGCAGACCGGGAAGTGGGTCAAATTAAGATTCCAAGATTTTCTTACATACACAGTTAGTTACAAGTGAAGCTAATAAAAGCATGTTGAAAATAAAGAAATTTTATGTTATGAAAGTAAATGCATTTAAATATAAATAATTTGAGAGATAAATTAAACACACGAAGCAATATATAAGGTATGCGATACGTAAAATCCTTCAAATCCATGTTACATTCATGTTGAGCATTGATCGTTATAACACACTCTTGTACAAACTTCTTGTGGGCATTCATCGGCTTTGATTTATCTCCCAACTCGTACACACATACCTTCGTATTATACACAAAGTAAAAAGATCCAGGAAATCACAGAGGCATCTCCTCCTCCTCTTTCGATCCTCGAAGGAAAGGAGTTCGCTTTCACCTGCCGCACGTGCATGTATCCACGTATACCTCAGTCCCATAAGCGCAGCATTCGCTTTCTCACGAGCGTTACGTATACGCAACCTGCACACGTTAACTAACTTTTGTTTGCCGTTTCAGCCGATCATCTGTAACCGGTACATGGACTCGGTCAACCAGTACAACGCGTACCCCTGGGGTTGCGTCGAAGCAACCAAGACCTTCATGCAGAAACACGCCGCCGTACTTGGTGGTGCTGGCTTCGTCGTTGCTTTCCTTATGGTGAGACTAGAAGCTCCTTTTTTTCTTCTTTAGTGGTTATTAATAAAAAAGCCCTGTATTGCTTGCTTGCATAACTTTTTAATTTATTTAACTATTTTTGATGCTACTTTCCTCTTTCGATGGCTCATGTCCCTTTCACGTGTGTTACGTGGTATACCATTTGGAAATACTTTGCCAAAGGTCTTGCTAATCGATTTATCGATGGACCACAAGTACTGATGTGTTTCATGAATTTCAGTTCATCGGGATGATATTTTCCTGCGCGCTATTCAAAATGATATAGTGAGACAAAGCATGGGAAGTATAAGCAGGAGGTGAAATGAAGGAAACCACTACCAGCAACGCGAAAGATGAAACGATTTTTCCAATGTCCGTCCATCGCGCGCACAATTTGCGAGAAAATTTACGACGTCCGTCAACCAGATGTCGATCGTCATGATATGACCCCCATCAACGCGAGCCATCAACAGTTTTAAATATGTTACATATTATACATTCGTAAGGATCTGCAATTGAATCTCGTTTACGAGCCAATGCTATGATATATATATATGTGTGTTTGCACAATTGTATAACGTGTATTATGATGTTCTTGATGTGTGTGAATTTACAAGTAGCCGAGAGACTTTTGTTGTTGCTACTGTGTTTCTACGAGTAATTTACGTAAAGAGACCTTTTTGTTATTTGACATGAATTTTTCTGACGTGACTTTCGGTATTTATGTTTTTTTTACAGCAAATCTGCCGATGATAAGGCTTACTTTTTTACACATGTAAATTCATCCGATTGAAAGATGTTTGCCAGTATCATGTGATTGCAATATTTTTTGAGAGAACACATACCGCATTTTTTATTAGTATATCTGCAATTTTTTACGCAAACAAAAAGTGTTTATTTGTAATCGTTAATCGTGAGAGTAAATATTAAAATTTATTATTGTAGTGTAATATCGTTGCATCGTTGCTTTAATTGATTTAACAGTAACGAAAAATGTTTTTGTACAGTTTTTTTTTTTTTTTTTTTTTTCTTTTAGAAGTCTGTATAAATGGCTAACAACTGATTGCTGTTTTTGTCTAAATAATATATTATTGTAAAGAATACAAGAGTTACCACGAGAATATTACATTTTGTAAATGCCAGAATTACTTTCTACGTGAGCCGCAACTGAACTATTTGCAATTATGTTTAGTAGAAAATTAACTGTAGTATCTGAGTTTTAGTACAATGACGAGTACTTTTGGCAAGTTATTTTATAAAATGAAGTTAGGAACAAACAACGAATTAACGTATTCATATTGAGTAAAAAAATTAAAAATAACTGCGTATAAAGTATACTATTATTTTTTCTGTTTTTGCCGTGTGAGACTTTATTCGAATTAATAAATTTTACATTTCAAGTATTATATATTCATTGTTTATGTAGGTATCTGACATTATTAGTAAATCCGAATAAGCTTACATTGCCACTTCATTACGTAACTCCGATGTAATGTCTGTTATCTGGATACCGTGTTGTTATGTACGTTTCAGTGCTCACAAAAGTGACGTGCAATCACGTTTATCTGTAACCTTTAAGACCCAATTGCCCAGTGTTGTAACTCAGCTTTCGAAGTGATGTACCTTTTTAAAAATTTTAATGTTGATACCTCGAGAATTTGTAAATATATTTTGAGAATTTAGACATTAAACGTGTGTTTTTAAATTCTACAAATCTTACTTTTCCGTTATTACGTCGCAAACTTCTAACAACATTAATTCCATACAAAAATCAAGCAGTTTCATCTTTTCCGGCTAATGATATAGATAAAATTGCATTTTTTCTCCTTTCAATCAGGTATAGTAAAACTCGCTGTTTAATTCATGCATGGTAAGAAGTAACACAAAAAAAATCTTTCAAAGATATGCTTTTATCGATAAATTAAATAGTAAACAAAATTTTGTAATAAGGAATTTAGTAGCATAGCCACTCTATTTTTTATAAATAATGCGTGCAGCCAAATTTTTTTTTCTTACTTAAATCTTATGTTATCTTATCTTACTAATGTATAAAGCAAAGTCGCTAAAATTGTCGTAATCGCTAACCACGAAAACTGCTCCACCGATCTTGCTGAAATTTTGCATACTGATTCTAGACACTTTTTAGATGGTTTTAGTATAGTTTTCATCTTGAAAAAATTAATAACAATAGAAATAAATAAGCTCAAAGTCTTGTAAAAATACGATAGCTTTTCAGTTCAGTACGATCCGCTAGGTGGCGTAAAAGTAAAATAGAAGCTACCTGCAATAGAATTCAGTAAGACTGGTTATTATGTCTCCAAGCAAAGTACCGAACACCACATTCTCATCAGTGACTTTGTAGCATACGGACGTACTGCCTTCTGTGATTCTCTCTCTGCGCTTCATATAGGTTCTCAGGGCCTACTGGTTCCTGCTTTTACTTGACATCAAAACGAAAGAGTACGCAGAAAAACAGTCCTCCGCTGGATCATCGGAGGGATACCTTGACTACCCCAGGACCCATCGAGGTCTCTGGAATGAATACAGAGCAAGAGTGAACGCCTTGTTGGCTACTCTCTCAAATTTCCCAACGGAACACTCAGGCTCCTCTCAGGAAGATCTGCTCAAGGTTATCAAGGACCTACAGGCCACGATTTCAAACCTTCAGCTACAGCAACAACAGTCAAACGCTCTGATCTCAGAGCTCCACGAGACAATCAACGCTCAGAATAAGGCTCTCAATCAATCAAACGGTTCAAAAACCACGTCTGTCAACGTCACTAGTAAACCACGTATAGTCAAAAAACGCAAAGCTGACAAAGAGCTTCAACCTTCACCTAGCTTTACATTACATTAATACTTTCAATACTATGTGAATTTACTTTGCTCTAACTTGTTTACTTTCTGTAATTTTTTCATTATGTAACTATATTTCATAATTATGTTTACCAATACTGCTTATCATATATTGTAAATTACTATGTATCTTCAAGAGTTACTTTATGTGTATTCTTTGTACTGCTAATTGAGGGCCAGATATGGCATAGCCACAAAGCCTAAATAAAGAATCTAATCTAATCTAATCTAATCTAATCTAGAGCAGGTCTCTTCGAAGAGTCTGGTACCGAATTGGATTTTGAACAGAACAGTGACTTGTTCGAAGAAGTAACCTCTCCGAGCCAAAAGCAACCGTCTCCTCCACCAATACTTGTCCGTGAGACAAAACGTTGGCCCAAAATCCACTCTGCTTTAACAGCCGAAAAGATTCAGCTTCGCAAAGCTGTAAGCATCCACGACGTTATAAAAATTTATACAAAATCAGTCGACGATTTCCGTTTCATCACCTCCGAGCTAGAAAAAAGTAAAGTTGAGTACTCAACGCACCAGCTAAAATAAGAACGCGAGCTAGAAGTCGTCATCCGAGGAGTATTGCAGCATCTAACCAAAACCAAAATCTTGGAGGAACTCCAAAGCAAAGTTCCAGCCGTACGCCGGGTCCACCGTATGCACAAGGGTGACAATATCTGGCCCTCTCGTCGTCGTTCACTTAGATCCTGCTTCACCAGAAGCATATTCCATCTTTGACGTCAAGTCTGTAGGTAGACTCAGCATCCGAGTCGAGCCAAAACGTAAAACGAACTTTATCCCTCAGTGTAAACGCTGCCAAAAATATAATCATACATCAAACTACTGTCACGCTGCCTGGGTTTGTGCTTTCTGCGCAAAAACCACGGCACTGCCGCCTGTCCGAACAAGGACTCAAAGGAAACCAAACCAGTCTGTGCAAACTGTAATCAAGACCACAGGGCATACTACAGAGGCTGCCCAAAAGTACCAATCAAATTGATCCAGCCTAATACAACCGTCACCAAAAAGAGCTCTACTCAAACTCAACCACATCAGCCTCCAAGACAAACAGCGCTTCCAAACAACCTTAGCTTTGCCCAAGTCGTGGTATCAACCAAGCAGCCACTAGCAGCATCACTACCACCGGATACTGCGTTAACCCTTATCATCACTCGTATTGTTTTCGAGGTCCTGACGTCACTGCGTCAGTATGACCACCCCAAAAAATAAACTACTTTTAGTGACATGGAACGCCAGAAGCATCCAAGGCAAGAAGTTCGAAATAGAGCAATTTTTGCAAGATCACGATGTGGATATCTTCTGCATTCAAGAAACCTTTCTCAAACCGAAGCACTCACCCTACTTCACTGACTACGTCATTTACAGGGACGACAAAACCGCAGGCGCAGCAGGTTCCGATGGAGGCGGCGCCGCTATCCTTATCAAGAAAAGTCTCCACCATTCACCCATCAGGGTCACTTCAACATCAGGAGAGGTCGTAGGCATCGAAATTCTTAATAACTCTCCTGGCGGTAAAAATCCCAGGGTCATCACTTTCTACACTTCACCTTCCTTAAGTGACATCAATAGTCTTCCAACCTTTTTTGAAAAAGACATCCCGACAATAGTACTTGGCGATCTAAACGCAAAACATACATCATGGAACTGCGTTGAAACAAATCCAAGGGGTAAATCGCTACTACGCATGCTGCTAAAATACAAACTGACTCTAGAGGCTCCTTCGGAGCCCACTCACTACCCCGATAACAACTCGTACAGGCCAGAAATCCTAGACATTGGAATCACCAGCGGCATAAGGATGTCTAAAGACCCCTGGGTCCTAAACGATCTCACTTTAAATCATCGTCCAGTTTTCTTCGATATTTACTGCTCATCCCAAACGACACCTCTATCTTTGAACAAGATTGATAAAGATCTTCTTCAATACAATTTGGAAACAGCAGCCTTTCAATGCTCTTCAATCAGAGACTCCGCAGAACTGGACGCAGCTATTGCAGCTCTAACCACGTGCCTAACAACTGCCATTAAGGATTCAACCATTACTCTACCTGCAACAAAGAGTCATAGAAATCTTCCAAAGGACGTCCGCACCCTCATCAAGAACAAGAACAAAGTGCCCAGAAACTGGCAGCAATTAAGATCTCCTGAACTAAAGACCAAGCTAAACGCTCTACAAAAAGAAATTCAATCTCTTCTCAAAGATCTAAACTCTCAGAGCTTCAACAGCTACATCGAAGAAGCAGAATCAAATCCAAGACGGGCTTGGAAAATAGTCAAGTCCCTCAGAAAGCGGCGTACTGTTTCACCACCTATAAAAGTTGGACCCCACATTTACACCCTTGACTCAGAAAAAGCAGAGGCTTTTGCCGATGCACTTGTGACTCAATGTTCACCAAATCCTAGTCCAGAAGATTTCATTGACGACCACGCTATCATCAACGATCAAGCTGAAAATCTACTTCCAATGGCATCTGATTTTTCGCCCACATCACCAATCGAAATAAGAAAACTCATACGCAAATTGAAAAACAACAAGGCTCCCAGTTGGGATGGGATAAACAACTTAATTCTAAAGATCCTACCAAGGAAACAAATAACGGCTATCTGTAACATAATCAACGCTATCATGAGATTCCAGTACTTTCCTCCAGCTAGGAAGAAAGCCATAGTTATATTGATACCAAAGCCAGGCAAACCTTTCTCTTCAACTGAAGGCTCAAGACCCATAAGTCTACTATCAAATCTAGGCAAATTAGCCGAATCCGTAATACTCACCCGCATCAAGGCTCACGTACGTCTAAACAATATTATTCCCGACACCCAATGCGGATTTAGGGAACGCCATAGTACCTGCCATCAACTTCTCAGAGTGACTGAATTCATCGCCGAAAAGCTGAACAAAAAACAGCACACTGCTATGGTTCTTCTCGATATCCGTCAGGCTTTCAAAAGAGTTTGGCATGCTGGACTAATCTTCAAGATGTTAAAACTCGGCTTTCAACTCTACCTCGTCACAGTTGTAAAGTCCTACTTGTCAGAAAGAAGCTTTCAGGCCAAAATTGGAAACTCAATCTCCGCGCCACGTACCATCTCAGCTGGAGTACCTCAAGGAGCAAAACTATCACCACTGCTCTTCAACATCTTCTGTCACGACATTCCTCACAGTCAGGGTATAATGTCTGCTGAATATGCAGACGACATCGCCCTACTCCATTCATCAAAGTTCATCACCCAATGCACAGGAAAACTCAATAAGCACATCAAGGTCCTTGCCCATTGGTACACTTTCTGGCGTCTAGTACTAAATGAAGCCAAAACAGTTGCTCTCTTCTTTTCCAAAAGGAGGAAAGAGCCTCCAAACATCATCGTAAATTCACATAATATCAAATGGAGCCTCACCGCCAAATATCTTGGAGTCATATTTGAGAAACGCCTCACGTGGTCAAAACAAGTCGCTAGTGTACAACAGAAGGCCAGAGCCGCTTTTGTGGCGCTTAAACCAATATTTGTTAATGTGAAAATCTCAACTCGGACCAAGCTACGTATCTTTAACGCAATCATCAGAAGTATATGCACATACGCCATACCAATCTGGGGAATCACTTCAAAACTTCGTCTACTGCAAGGAACTTTCATGCGTCTCTTGCGCAGCTCCCTGAACATTCCCTGGTTCATCAGGAACGTGCAAATTCTCAAAGAAATCTCAGTAGTCTCTTCCAAGAAAGCAGCGTACTCATATGCTCAAAACTTAAGAAACTCGATCACATCGCATCCAAACCCACTCATCAAGGCCTTAGCCGACTGCTCCCCTAGCTAGAGCGACTGGGTAGATCGCCCCTGCA